TGTGTCAACATCATTTATCGATGTGCGATATATATCCCTTAACACCCTGTTTGGCCCCCATTAAATTATATTACATTACATTAAAAAAAATTTCTCTTCATTATAACCACATATTCATCAAATAAAATAATATTACACACAAATTTAAAACTTTTCATTACTTTTCTACCATACATTCTTCCATCAATCACTATTTCAAAAATTTTCAACTATAAAAAATGCAAAATAATGGGGCCAAACAGGAGTGTAATTTCAAGATTTTACTGGTAAGTTATAATTAGGAGATGTGCAGTCCACACCCCAGAATATATTAATAGATCTGAAACGTTGATTTTGTTATTTTAACGTGGTTTAATTTTGTTAATGATAGTAATTCTGTTTGATGTAGGGTGAGTAATAAAATGGGATTGGAAGCTGCGGTCGAAGCAGCGGCTGCATTCTTGAACAAGGCTATCAAACCAGTTATGGTGGGTGGGCCGAAACTTCGTGTTGCCAAAGCATGCAATGCCTTTGTCGAATTAGCAGATGCTTGTGGCTATGCTCTCGCGGTGATGCCATCGGCCAAAGGGCTAGTCCCCGAGCACCATTCACATTTCATCGGGACTTACTGGGGCGTAGTGAGCACGGCTTTTTGTGCAGAAATCGTGGAATCAGCTGATGCATATTTGTTCGCTGGTCCAATCTTTAACGACTTCAGCTCGGTTGGATATTCTCTTCTTCTCAAGAAAGAGAAGGCGATCATCGTGCAGCCTGATCGTGTTACAATTGCTAATGGACCTGCATTTGGTTGTATCCTAATGAAGGATTTCTTCGTTGCTCTTGCGAAGAGGCTTAAGTGTAACACGACTGCTTATGAGAATTACTATAGGATTTATGTTGCTGAAGGACTTCCTCTCAAGTGCGAACCTATGGAGCCATTGAGGGTTAATGTTCTGTTCCAGCATATTCAGAAGATGTTGTCGAGTGAAACCGCTGTCATTGCTGAGGCCGGGGACTCATGGTTCAACTGCCAAAAACTACAACTGCCACCGGCATGCAGGTCAGCGCTAGAGAAATCTAAATACGTGAACTTCGATGTTGCCTTAAGAGTCTTAGACATTATGAATATTGAGGTCTCATAGAAACTTGGTTTGCAGGTATGAATTCCAAATGCAATATGGATCCATTGGTTGGTCTGTAGGCGCAACTCTGGGTTACGCACAAGCAGTACCAGAGAAGCGAGTCATTGCCTGCATCGGTGATGGTAGCTTCCAGGTTATCTATTCCTCCCTTATTTGTAGAAGATAGAGAATAATAT